TAAATCCTAAGTCACTTGGCAAGCCATCCAGGAGCCGGCTTTGCCGGAAACTGTCGTGAGAGCCGAACCCTTGAACCCCAAGCTTGGCATCTGTTTTTAGGGTTTAGGGTTTAGGGTTTAGGGTCCCCCACCCCATCCCCCCTCCCCCCCTCTACACCCAAGCCTTCTAGTGCTTAGGACTTCCCTGGGACTCTCCTTACCTACAGTTTAATGGGTTGTACAGATTATATTAAGGGGTAGTTACCACGAAACTGTAGGTAAATGGATTTCCAGGTAGGCATTGTGGGGCTTCGGGGTTTCGGGCTGAGAGAGGTTTTTTTGGGGTGTGCCCGTGAGGCAAGAACACACAAGTCTTTCTTGGTTCACAGCCACCCATAATTCAAATGGATCTGCATTTTAGGGTGTGAGGTGTCGCAGAGTAGCTGAAAACCAGTAACCCAAGCCCAAAACTACAAGTCCGCAAAACCCTAAGCCCCAAAACCTTACCCTAAACACCTCCACTCAAGGCACCAGATAGGGACTATCGGATAAGTAGGGGTTATGTAACCCTAAACCCTAAATCCTCCTCCCGCTGGCAGCTGGGCTTTCCGGCGTACCCGGTCGGTTGGCGGCGAGAGCTTCCGAAGTTCGCGGTATGGCGTGCCGAGCCTGATCTAGTTTGGGGTTTAGGGTTTAGGGTCTAGTTTGGGGTTTCAGGCAGGAAAAATCTCCCTTTCGATTTTCTGGGCTCCCCAACCCCCCCCCCCCCCCCCCCCCGAAAAGAACTCGCGAGGTTTTAAGGGCCAGGATTCTGGGGCATTTTGTCGGGCTAAGAGTCAAGGATTGGCATCTTTGACGGCTTTTCAGACGATGGTCCCTTGCCGCCTTAAGGCTCCAAGGACCCTCCTACAGGACTGGTACCTCCTAAGGAGGGTTCTGGGGTCTCAATTCCTGGGGTTTTGAGGACCCAAGAGCCTGAGGGCCACGTAGTGTTTTAGGCTGCGTCCTGCCGTTGTAACTGCTGGAAGGTCCTGGGCTTCAACTGCTTGTGGCTCGATTTAGGGTTTGGGGGGTAGGGTTTAGGGTTTAGGGTTTAGGGTTTAGGGTTTAGGGTTTAGGGTTTAGGGTTTAGGGTTTAGGGTTTAGGGTTTAGGGTTTAGGGTTTAGGGTTTAGCCAAGCCGATCCCCAGAACCTTCCTGCCTTGGTTCGGGCCTAAAACACAAACCCAGGGTTTAGGGTTTAGGGCTTAGGGCTTAGGGTTTCACCCGGTAGCCCTCAACCCGGCAAGCCCTGCACCCTAATCCTGCAAAAAGCTCCTTCTCATTGAGGTCTCCACCCTAAACTCCAAACCCTAAACCCGAAACCCCAAACTCCAAACCCTAAACCCTAAACCCTAAACCCTAAACCCTAGACCCGAAAACCCGGCCTTCGCAGTTCTTCCAAGAGCTGCCACACGACATCCTCCGGCCATCCGGGTCTCGTGACTGTTTTGGGGTTGAGGGCTGGGCCTTTTGGGGTTTAGGATTTGAGGTTTAGGGGTTAGGGTTTAGGGGTTTAGGGGTTTAGGGGTTTAGGGGTTTAGGGGTTTAGGGGTTTAGGGGTTTAGGGGTTTAGGGGTTTAGGGGTTAGGGGTTTAGGGGTTTAGGGGTTTAGGGGTTTATAGGGGTTTAGGGGTTTAGGGGTTTAGGGGTTTAGGGGTTTAGGGGTTTAGGGGTTTAGGGGTTTAGGGTTTAGGGTTTAGGGTTTGAGTGTAGGGATTTGGACCCAAACCGGCTTGTTTGTAGGCTCTTGTTTAAAACGACTTGTAAGATAACCTACGAAAATGTAGGCTTTGGGGCGCATGAACTGTTCAGGGTAAGTACATTCGAGTCTTCAGCGATGGATATACTCCCTCCCCACTACTCCCTAAGGCTCCAGGTTCCCTAGGTACCTACCCCCATGAACTATACACAAACTGGCACCCCCGAATCCGTAAGTTCTGTGAGGAAGAAAGACGGCCCAAAAATCTAGAAAAAAAAAAACAGCCCGCGCTCCGAAACCGAAAATCCTCTAGCCGTCCTGAGGAGGCGGTGGCTGATTCGAATTCGAATTCGACCTAGGTAGCTCTCGGGAGGATTTTGGCTCTCTCCGGTCTCCTCATGCAGCGCCGCCTTTGGGGTTGGTTCTGGGTTTAGAGTTCTAGGCTGCCCCGTAACCAAGGCTTAAAAAGGGTGCCCTTTTTTGCTTAAAGGGGATTATAAGGGAACCTAAACCCCCCAAAAAGGGAATAAGGGTACTACTGGGCATCCTAGAGTTGGTTCAAGAGATTATTTTGTTACGCAAAACAGTAACAGGTGTAAGGGCCAGGGTCGACGTTCAGGGTGTGAAGAAAAGAACAACCGCGGCAACCCACTCTCGCCACTTGGGGTCATTGACGGGTATTCAACGGGTGTTTGTGGCCCTAAACCCTAAACCCGACACCTTAAACCCTAAACGCTAAACGGCCCTTGTTGGCAAGATGTGGGATGATATGAGTTTGCAGGGTGTGGTTTAGTATTCAGGGCGCCATGCATGGCGGCGTTTGCAAGTGGGCAAGAGCCGAGTGCGAAAAACATGCCATGAACAGTGCCAAGACAGCAGCAAGAAGGCCACCGCAAGAGTCCCTGTGCACCAGGCTTCTGTGTATCCGACTGGATGTGTCGTCCCTAAACTACTATGTGCTTAATAAGACCCCCCCAAAAAAAACACATATATATATATATATGTCAAAAATGATCTTGCTTGTGAGGGTACTATGGGGACTCTTATCGTTCATTTTTGAGATCTTCTTGAGCAAATAGTAGTAAAACCTAGACACTTTCGTGTTGGACATTCCCAAACATGTTTGGTTGTTGCTGAGCCTCCCTAAACCCTAAACCATTCTAAACCCCAAACCCTAGACCGTATAAACCCTAAACCCTAAACCCTAAACCCTAAACCCTAAACCCTGAACCCTAAACCCCAAACCCTAAACCCTAAACCCTAAAAGCCATGAGGTCCGCACGCGACAGGCCGGTAAGAGCTCGCAAGGCCGGGCTGAGATCGAGGCTCCTCCTGTCTGGTGTGCTTCGAAACCCTTGTTTAGGGTATTAGGGTTTAGGGTTTAGGGTTTCGGGTTTTAGGGTTTAGGCCCAAAATTGCCGGTCACTAAACCGGAAACCCTTAACCCTAAGCCCCAAACCTAAACGGACCCGAAGGGGCCCCTTAGGCTCAAAATAGACCGAAAACCTTTTGTAGGAAGGCCTTGTGGCCCAAAAAAAACAAAACTAAGAGGCTCATTTAGGGAAAGTATTCTAGTGCTTACACCGTATACTCACAGTCCTTAATAGGGATTATCATAGGAGGTACGATAATCCCTATGACCCTATGAAGGACTGTTAGTATAAGGGGACTTATCGTGAAGCAATCGACGAATTGGTCATTTCCGCAATTTTTCCTAAGAACACCCAGTTCCCTAAACCCTATAAACCCTAAACCCTAAACCCTCAACCCTAAACCTCAAACCCTTTGCTTGTTTGGGGGTTGGAGTTTCGGGCGCAGGGTCCCTTGGCAGCCGGCTGTCGACCAGCATTCCCGTCACCGCCTGCATGGGAGGCGTGGGCTGGGAAGGGCTTAGGGTTTAGGGTTTGCAGAGCTTAGGGATTGCAGGGTTGGCAGGGCTTTCGGGTTTCGGGTTTCGGGTTTAGGGATTTAGGGATTTAGGGTTTGCAGAGGTTTGCAGGGATTGAGGTTGTCTTCGTGGATTGGTACCCAGAGATTGTCCAGCACTGGCCAAAACGACGGTCCTGTCGGCAAAAGCCTGAATCCCCTACACACCCAAACCCGCGTAAGCCCTATCAACCCTATAACCCCTGAACGGCCCTAACCCCTATAAACACGCTCCTGTGTATTCAGGGTGCCCAAACCTTGGAGGTTCATGGGTACGTATAAGCAGGGTTATAAGCAAGCGATCTATTGCTATATCCTTGCGTCGGCTTCTTTCTACCCTGAAAGTACCCATGAACCTCCTAGCGCCCACAAGGGGCCATCATGTCGCGGCGGTTTAAGGGATTAGGGTTTAGGGCAAGTATTGCAACGCCTGGGATTGGATCGTCCGTGGACCCTAGGCTGGAACTATGCACCCTAAACATAAACCCTAAACCCTGAACCCAAATTCTGCGAAGAGGTGTCTCAACCCATCCACCCAGCCACTATCGGACAGCTAGAGCCGAGTCATCCATGTAACTTTCGGGGGGTTTCCCTGTACTGCCAGGGACCCAAGAATTGGGTCACTAGAGCCCCATAATTAGGTGCCTGGAAGGATTGGGTTTAAGGTTTGGATATCTGTCATCATACGCTTTACCTGACAGCGGTGTTGCTGTCACGGCGTTCTGCCGTGGGCCCGCGCGCCTCATTGCGCGCCATGATTGCAAGCCACAGCTACGAAGGGATTGAGGGCCAGCCTAAACCCTAAAAAGCCTTAAGCCGTAAACCTAGGAGCTGCCTTGTGCAAGCACAGTTCATGAACTTCGAAACTCAATGCGATGTGCTTTGGAGTTGCCTAGATCACACAAGGCAGGGGAATCGCTGAAAGAAAGTTGGATGTGACTTGTTTGCATTGGGCTGCTTGGCTGCATTTGCAGACGTTGATCCAACCGAGAGGCGGCGTTCGGAACCTCGATCGTCTCGTGCCTTCCTACATCGGGGAGTGCTGAATCCCATAACTTCGGGCCTCTGAGACAATGCTGATGCTAGGCTGTTATACGAAACGCAGTCTATACGGAACTTGGAGCCCTAGCAAAAAACGATAGCTTAACTGTTTCTTAGGATTAAAGTATCCCTAAGCAGTGAGAGAAAGGATCGACCTGCAAGCCATGTCAGTTCAAATTATTGCATCCGTAGCCCGCAGCTTAACGAAGCGAGCACAGTACGCATCGCCAAGCCTATTCCAACCTTGGCCTCCTGAGGGTTTAGGGTTTAGGGTTTAGGGTTTAGGGTTTGCGCCGTGGGGGGTTGGGCTCACCTCCCTTCGTTGGGCCTCTGCTGAGGCGTCCTCCTGAGGGACATGGGAGAGGTTTAGGATTTAGGGCTTAGGGCTTAGGGTTTAGGGTTTAGGGATACCTCATTGGGGTCCTTATAATGAGGGAGCCCTACTCTATATTTGGGGGTCCATTTTCGGATTCCCTTATTTTCGTAAACCCCCACATGTGAGTCTGGGACTAAACTGCGGCAAGGTATTTTGGGGGCGGGTACGAGGGCCCTTGCTATGGGCCCTAAACTTCGAAATGCCCCTCATTATATCTCTCTGTGCTGCCAGGGGCCTATAGTACTTAGCTTACTAGAGCCCCCAAAGGACCGCATAATGACCTGGAAGGATAGGGTATAGGTTCGTTATGATATGGGATGCGTAGGAGGCATGTCGGGTTCTGTACTAAAGTCCAAGTTCCGCAGAGTGGAGGCACAGACCTGGCGCCCCAAGTGTCTCGCCATTTGAGATTGGGCACTGAAAACTATGTCTCTGAAAAGTCATGTGGGCCGGGGGTGCTCGACCCTAAACCCTAAACCCTAAACCCTAAACCCTTTTTGCAACTGGGAACCCTAAACCCTAAACCCTAAACCCTTTTGACCCCGCGAGCTCTGCCGGGTTTCAAGCTGTCCAAGCAGCCCTAAACCCTAAACCCGAAACCCTAAACCCTAAACCCTCCCTAGCCCCTAAAAGCCCTCAACCTGTCCTGCGGAAGTCCCAGGAAGCTGGCGCTGGCGGAGGACATCTCCATGAAGGGGGCCTCGGTATAACTACTAGGGTTTAGGGTTTAGGGTTTAGGGTTTAGGTTTAGGTTTAGGGAACACATGAAACCCATTTTCCCTACTTGGAGGTTCATGGGTACTTTTAACCCCGATTAGAAGCCTCCTTGCAACCTACTTAGAGGACTTAGGGGACTTAGGGGGCTTAGAAGTAGAGTTGTAATTGGGGCTCTAAGTATACCCTGAACCTCCAGGTACACCTCCGCGCCGCAGATTTAACGTATGCAGGTCGGGATGCTCCTTCCCCCTCAGACTAACAGTCCTTCACAGGGATGAGAACTAGGGGTGGTATTACAATCCCTACCCATTAAGGGGTCGGACTGCTGGTTTCAGGGGGAAGCATCCCGATTTATAGGGTTTGGGGCACAACTTGAGGAAACAAATCACGTTTCCCCGGCTGGTGCGCATGAAGAGAAAACTTTATAGGAGCAAAAGGGCGACGTGCAAAAACAATGTTGTGGTTTCGGGTTTAGGTTTAAGGTTTCACAAACCCTAAACCCTAAACCCTAAACCCCAAACCCCAAACCGTAATCTTCAGCCCTAAAGTGGTCTTGTAAGGGGAAAACACATCAGGATGGCCGAAGAGCAGGATGGCCGGGGAACTTCGACGAAGACTCGGGATACCAACGGGCCGAGGCGAAGTTCGACGAAGGTGGGGGGGCCGGGCGAAGGTTCGACGAAGGCCGGGAGGTTCGACGAAGGGGGAGGGGGTTTGACGAAGGCCGATACAAAAGGCCAAGACAAAGGCCGAAAAAAAACGCGAGGGTTCGACGAAGGCTAAATGAAGGCCGGAGGTTCGACGAAGGCCACAAGGGCCGGGAGGGGGGTTCGACGAAGGCCAAGGGTTTCGACGAAGGCTAGGGGGGTTCGACGGCCTTTGCCGAAGGCTGTGTGCCATCCGCCCCCATACGCCGTCCTGATCGGTTTGCCCCTGATCTTGAGGACTTGGCAGCTCCGTCGCAGTCGATGCTGCTATGTGCAAGCATGGCACCTTTCTCCCTCTCTCGTCACTGCCCCTCTCTTTCCCTAAGGCTCTACGGCCTCTTATTGTAGGGATTTTGGGCCAAGAGGCCTTCATCATAAGGCTTTTGGGCTGTTTTGAGCCGAAGGGTTTAGTTCTATTTTCTGTCTTCTATGCTTGTGATTGTTTACGCCTTTCATTGAATCTTGCCAGCGTAGCCTCTCTTAGCCTCTCTCTTTGTTTCCCTCCCTCCCTCTCCTGCTCACACAGGGCTAAACTCAACCCCAGTTACCGCAGTTGCATCCCAAAACAATATACCACGATCTGCTTAAGAACCCCCCCCCCCCAAAAAAAAAAAAAAAAACAACTCCCTGTATGACCCTTAGAAGGAAGGGGGAATTCTTACAACCATAAAGCCTCTAAACCCTATAAACCCTGTAAACCTTATTTATAAACCCTGTAAACCCTACAAACCCTGTAGCTATACTCCTTTTAGAACCTTAAAAAAAATACATGTTTAATATCCTCTTGGGTTTATATGAAGAAAATTACAGAATACTTCCCCAAGGGGGATATAGATATACCCTGTAGAGAACCACCACGTCTCAAACTCTGCCACCCTCTCCGGGGCCACGGCAAAGCCGACTGCCGGCAGAAACTCGTTGGGATCGGTGGCATCTGCAAGAAGCTCCAACCTCAGAGGGAAAGCCTAAACCCTAAACCCTAAACCCGATGAAGCCTCAACACGCCGGGGTCCTAAACACCTCTAAGTCTGTATTTGCTGGGCCGGCCATCGGCGCAACGCTTCGGGTGTCGAGGCCCTGTCCCCCTAGAAAGTCTGAACTCTCCTCTTTTTTGCGTTGAAAAGCTGTGAAAATCAAACTCAAGAAACTAGCGACCCAAGAGCGACCTGGGATTAAAGGGGTGCCCTTTTTGGATTAAAGGGGCTCATAAGGGAACCTGGAATATGGGGTCCCAGGAAAGGTGTAGGTTGACCAAAAGGTAGATGCCGAGTAGACAAGAGAACCCAAAAACAACAAGCACAAACCCGAGCAGTCTCAGCCCTAAAACCGATAATGCACCAGTTGAGCCCCAAGCCCTAAACCCTGCAACCCTGAACCCTGCAGCATCTTACTTCTCCAATAACCAAGGAGGAAAAAGGCTTGTTGCTATTCCTACTAAATAAGGCAACCCCAAAAGTTACAAAAGTCCAAAAAACTTGGCCAAGGAAGGTACACACCGCCCTCCACCCCAACAAAAACCAACTCGGGGGTTTGTACGAAAATAAGGGAGCCCCGGATAGAGTCCCAAAAAAAAGTAGGATTCCCTTACCAATTAAGGGCCCCAAGAAGGTATCCCCTAAGTTCGGAAAGCCCTTAAACCCTAAACCCTAAACCCTAAACCCTAAACCCTAAACCCCCTAAACCCTCTAAACCCTAAACCCTAAACCCTAAACCCTAAACCCTAAACCCCCACTGTCGGAAACCCCCACTTCGGGTCTCCGGGCTGTGTGAGGTTCGCAGGGTGGTCGGAGAGATAGGCGCCCAGCATGGCGAGGTTCAACTGAAGCCAGGGGGCCTCCAGGATTGAAGAAGGGTTTAGGGTTTAGGGTTTAGGGTTTAGGGTCAGGGGGCCTCCAGGATCTGGCTGCATGGGGCATGCTGATGCCTTTTAGGGTTTGAGGTTTTAGGCGTTTAGGGGTTTAGGGTTGAGGGTTCTGGCTGCATAGGGCATGTTGACTAAGATGTGGAGGCTTACGAAAATGGGAGGCCCCAAATATCAACCCCCGATAGTAGGATTCCCTTATATTAAATGGACCCCAATAAGGTACCCACAATTTCGGAAACCACCATACCTATTGGGGTTTGGGGTTGTGGAACTCCGCGCTGCCTTTAAAGTGTGCTTCACTACAAAAGCCCCTTTGCAGGGTTTAGGGTTTAGGGTTTAGGGTTTAGGGTTTAGGGTTTAGGGTTTAGGGCAAGAAGCGGCAAACTCGGAGGCCCAAGTGGGCCGAACGAAGACCACACGCGACATTGGACAGTTTAGGGCAAGCTGGATGCCGCCCCCTCTGGCTGAACTGCATGCACCTTGACGGCTTCTTTTTTGGGCATCCGCCTAGCTGGACGAGCCACTGCAAGGATCCCGACATTGATGGGTTTCGAGTTCAGGGCTTCTGGCCTACAGCTCGAAACCCCAAGTGCCCTGATTGCTGATTTCCCTAAACCCTACCACAGTTACCCTACGCATAACCCTACCTATAAGTCCCCACGAACCTGCAAGTAAACCCTGGCCACTTCGCCCGCCTCTGAGAAACTACCTGAGCTCCAGATCTGTGCCAGAAGCAACGGCAGCACCTGCCCTCGAGGGCGTACTCATTGCAAGTAAACCCTAAACCCTAAACCCTAAACCCTAAACCCGAAACCCTCAACCCTAAGCTGCGCCGCCTGCCCCTCGGAGCCGCGCAGCACGGCACCCGCGTGGCTGACATGAAGGACCTGGCCATGTGAAGAAGGGCTTTGCACTACTAGTTTTGCGGTTTAGGGTTTAGGGTTTAGGGTTTAGGGTTTAGGGGTATCCCCGAAAGGACACCCAATATACACTCGCCAACAGCTACAAGGAGCCCTACATACACTCACCAAGCAGTCAATAGCAGTAGTGAAGCCCATTTTCTTATAGGTTGAATGGCAGTTGGGGGGGGCTCAGGAGCACCTGCAATGCTGAACTGTACTCGAAAAGTGTGTGTAACCAGATAGAATGAGGGCTTGCTTCCCTAGAAACCCTAGAAGCCCTAAAACGGCACACCGAGCTACACTCATGAGGCTCTGACCAATCGCCACTTGTCGCTGTCAGTGCCGCGATCCTGTCAGGCGCAAATGAACTCCCCGGCCAGCGGGAATTCCAGAGGGTTTATATGACGTTTATATATTAGGGTTTTGTATGATATGGGGTTTGCGCAAACCTGAAACATCCTGGAGCCAGAAATCTCAACCCTACACCCTAAACCCCAAAGACCAAAAGGTACCCTCAACTCTGAAGGAGCTGCGTCTCTTCTCAAGTGCTCACAGGCTGTGGGGCGTTAAACAAAGGCCCACTTGCAGCAACCTGGTGGTTTTTGTTGGCACCCGAATGTCTGGGCGAACCACTCCGCAAGGATGTATACGTAAAACATGCATAGAGCAAATATACAGTACGGTATAATAATAAAATTATATATATATATATATATATACATATGTATAGAGAGAGAGGAACAAAACAAAAGGGCAGGGTACCCAACAAGAGGCCATAATTTCAACAAATGCACCAGATTCTAGAAGCTCATAAGAAACCAGCTATCCTAACACCCACGAACACTAAGCCAGACCCAAAACCCAAAACCCAAAACCCAAAACCCCAAACCCAAAACCCTTCCAAGGTTGGCTCGGGGCGCCTTGGGGGGCGGCATGGGCACTGCCAGCCCTTGAGGGCCTTGTGGCGGTGGTGGCAGAGGCCAATGTACTTTTTTCTTGCTGGGGGGGGGGGGGGGGGGGGGGGGGGGGGGGGGGGGGGGGGGGCGGGGAAGGGGGGCGGAGGGGTGAGCCAACCGCCAAGAGCCAGACTACTATTTGCGTAAGAACCTTAAGAACCCCCAAAAACTAGAAGGTAATCATCCCTAGATTACCCTTCCTAGCGTCTTAGGAAGAACATTTCTGTCATGTTTATGATTATACATTCTTGTGGCGGGGAGTTCTTTAAGCAAATAGTAGTATAGTTTAGGGTCTTGCCAGAGGGTCCACTTGTAGCACTATGACGGGTTTAGGTACCCAGACACCATACTACTACATGGGCTTTGTGGGTATCAAACTCCAGAATAGTCCTAAAATCGCTAAGGATTCTATCAGGGACTTGCACAATGATGAGCTGCGACGAAGCAGATGTTGGCTGCTTAGGGAGACTTTTTGGGGTTTCCAGGGCGTGCACAGAGGATTTGGCAAGGTCTAGGGCTCAAAGGCTTTCGCAACCCTACACCCTAAAAGAGTAGCGGCTTCGGGAATTGGAGGCTTTTAGGGTTCCATGCCTTAGTGTGAAAGGCTTGAAGGGTTGGGGCATTGAGGGTTGGGTGTTAAGATTTAAGGGTTTAGAGGGCTCTTAGGGCTCTCTCCTTTGGGGAGGTCTTCGGATCCAAGGTTTCCAGGGGTGTAGGGTACATCACCTCTTCCAAGGCCAAAATTCAATTTTCCTAAACCCTGAACCCTGAACCCTAAACCCTAAACCCTAAACCCTACACCCTACACCCTGAACACTAAACCCTAAACCCTAAACCCTAAACCCTAAACCCTAAACCCTAAACCCTAAACCCTAAACCCTAAACCCTAAACCCTAAACCCTAAACCCTAAACCCTAAACCCTAAACCCTAAACCCTCGCCGAGGCTGCTGCTGGTGACCGGCCAGGCAGAGCCCAGCGACTCGCTGGGCACATCCAAAAGGCCTTAGGAAGGAACAGCAGCACTTTTAGGGTTTAGGGTTTGAAAGTTAGGGTTTAGGGTTTAGGGTTTAGGGTTTAGGGTTTAGGGTTTAGGGTTTAGGGTTTAGGGTTTAGGGTTTAGGGTTTCGGGTTTAGGGTTTAGGGCTTAGGGTTTGAAAGTTTGGGGTTTAAGGTTTAGGGTTTTAGGAACCCACAACCCTAAACCCTAAACCCTAAACAGGCCCCGGGTTCCTTCGCAAAACCTGGGGCTCCACAGCCTTTTCGAGAGCCCAGGCTTCGGTCCGGGTCTGGGGGGTTCGTGGTCCGGAGATTTTGGGCAGGTTTTGGGCAAAAGCCTAAACCCTAAACCCTAAACCCTAAACCCTAAACCCCTAAACCCTAAACCCTAAACCCTAAACCCTAAACCCTAAACCCTAAACCCTAAACCCTAAACCAAGCTTCTGCTTTTGCTTCTTGCTTTTTTGGTTGGGTCTTCTTGAAGCCTTGTTCAAGAAAAATTGAACATGTGGCCTCCAGGGACATTTTGAATCAATGGGCCAACTTGTTCAGACAAGGAACTGTGTAACAAACATAGAGACATCTTGAGGGCTTAGGGTTTCGAAAGGTTTAGTGTTTAGGGTTTCGAGACACAACCCCCCTCCCCCCCCCTCCCCTCCCACCCCCCCTCCCCCCTCCCCCCCTCCCCTCCACTCCCCCCCTCCCCCACCCCCCCCCACCCCCCCCGCCCCACAGAACCTGCATTGTTCCAGGTGCCCCCTTGAGGTGCCCTAATATTCCAAAGTTCGGGACTCGTCCGGCTTGAACACTCCCTTGTTGATCACGACAGCCAAGGCATGCAACCACTTTCATCAGCCGTGTCTGCTCGTCGCGGGCAGAAACTAGCGGCGAAATGACTGCAGGGTCAATGTGGTGGCCCAAGAGCCTCCTGCTAGCAAGCGGGACCCTTGGTACTCTTAGCAGCCCATGAGAGCACGGTGCATTTCGAGCTTTGGGATGCCACCCGAAATCGCTCGGCTGCTTCGAAGCGGTCAAGAACTCACGAAGAGAAAGCGTGACCTCACCAGTGGTCCATTGGCCTACTCAGCCAACGACCCGAACTTTTTCAGACCAAGCCGGCCAAGCGGCAGAAAGCCCGAGCCCCTCCTGCTGCCCGGCTTCTGCCCACGGTAGGGTGTCTTGAGAATTCTGGAGCACAGGGGTCTTTGCACCATGCAGGATACCTCGCCCTAAACCCCAAACCCCAAACCCCAAACCCTAAACCCTAAGCCTTTAACCCTAAACCCTGTGGACCCAGTTCCCTTTGTCGCGCACGAAGAGAACTAGCAAGCGACACCCTGAAGGGCAAACCCCAAACACTAAGCCCTAAAGCCCGACAGCTTGAAGGTTGAAGATGGGGGGTCGTTCTCATAGTTGGGGTGCCTTCTTGCGTTCCCCACACATAGTACGGCACTCTTAACATAAGGGCCCAAAAAGCTTTTGAGACCCAATTTGGAGAACTACCCACGTATAGGGTCTGGAAATATAGGGTGTACCCTAAACCCTAAACCCTAGCGTTTAGGGCTACTTGAAAGTTCATGGGCACTTAGAAGTGGGGTTTAAAGCACGAAGGTTATAACCATAGTTACCTTACTTACACATCCCCCGCAATGAACCCCAATGCCTGCATCTTACACCCTAAGCCCTTTCCATACTGTTTGGGTTCAGGGTTTAGGGTCTAGGGTTCAGGGTGTAGGGGTTATGGGGTTTAGGGTCTGGGGCCGGCTTCTACCTATCCGTGTCGCACCCCCTTTTTTTTCTCCGAAGAATTCCTAAAAGGACCTGACCCCCATTTTCCCTCAACACCACGAGCCGACCCTGTGACCATGGGTATCCCAAATAAATAAGGGCCTTACTTTAGGGAGCCCGAATAACAACCTAAAAACATAGGTAAACCCTTTGTTGTCTAGAACCTGTAAACGTGATTTAGGAAACCATTAAACCCTAAATCCCAAAATCTTAAACCCTAAACCCTAGGCCTAAACCCTAAACCCACTCCGGAACACAGCGCCCAGCAGTCTGATGATGTGATCCGCAGGTCGAGCTGCAACCTCGGCCTCTCAAGGACTGAGGACGGGGAACCCTAATCCCTAAACCCCTAAACCCTAAACCCGTCAACCCTAAACCCTAAGGGGGTGGAGGGTTTGTACAGTGTTAGGGTTGGCCCTAAGCCCTAAACCCTTGCGCTTGGGGTTTAGTTGGGTTAAGGTGTTTAGACGATAAGGAGTATAAATGCGAACGCACACGCACACACCTTAAAGTATCGTCGGGATCTCAGCAGACGCCAAAGCCCGAGGGCAGAACCGCCTACACCTTGAAACAAAGGGAAAATTGTTGGGCATTGTCAACTACGGTTTCTTGGGCTCTCTGCGTCTCTGGCTTCCTACTAGTTCTTGGTTCGGCGCCTCATAACTTACAACCCCTATACATATACATGACCCTTGAGGGTTAAGTATGCCACCCTGTTTCCCGAACTCCCGCCTGAGAAGCCGTGTACCTGGGACTCTCTTTAGGTTATACCTACTTATCAAGGGGAAGTTACTATTAATTCCTGTAGCTAAATACTTGGCTGCACTTAGGAGGGTAGCTATGAATTTAATTTTTAGCTGCCTTCTCAAGAAAACCCCAATAAACCCAAAAAGGCTAAAGATGTAAAGTTACAGTAAAGCACCACAAAGAATAGTCCCAGGCAGGGCATCCGAGGACCTCTCGCGGCTCGCAAGCCCCCAGTCGCTGAGTGCCCTTAGGGTTTAGGGTTTAGGGTTTAGGGTTTAGGGTTTAGGGTTTAGGGTTTAGGGTTTAGGGTTTAGCGCTGAGTGCCCAACCCATCCGCGGGCCCCTCACCCGGCTGGTTCTGCTCAGCCCGCGGGGCCTGGACTTGGGTGTAGGGCCCTAAACCCTAAACCCCAAACCCTAAACCCTAAACCCTAAACCCTAAACCCTAAACCCTAAACCCTAAACCCTAAACAAGCCCGAAACCTTAACCCTAAACCCTAACAGTTCTTGAGGTGGGGTTTAGGGTTTCTGCCCATGTACTCCGCCCTGCACCTGGGGACAGTTTTGCGGGGCCTTATGGAGCCTGAAGCAATACCAACTTTATCCCTCCGCCCCCAGCACCCCTGGTTTGGTTTGAGGTCTAGTTTGTTTTTGGTGTGGGATTTCGGGTTGAGGGGGGGAGAAGTTAAGTGGTTGAAGATCTAGCTTTTGGTAGTTTAGGGCTGAGTAGAGTGGTACAACCGCAACCTCTTAACCCTAAACCCTAAGCCACACAACCGCAAAGAGTCTGGGTAGCACGCCAGCGATGACGTGAAGCGCTTGAGCCTTTCAGGGGTGGGGTTTCCTGGGGCGTGGGAGTTCGACTTAAACCCCAAACCCTAAACCCGAAACCCTTTGTTTTTCCATCTGGGCTGGGTGGGAAGAAGGCAGCTGCTTGCACAACCTGATCAGCTCTGCTGGCAAACCCTAAACCCTAAACCCTGAGCCTTTTTTTGCAGCAGGGCTCCTCGCCACTGCCTGCCTCGCCCCTTATTCCTGACCCTAAAGCCTAGTTCAACATTCAAGGTTTCCGGGTTTAGGTGAATATTGACCCTAAACCCTAATCCCTAAACCCTAAACCCTAAACCCTAAACCCTAAATCAAAAACCGTTGTAGATCCTAAAGTCTCAATTCCTAAGCCCTGAAAGCCACGCAATGCAGCCCAAACCCTGTGATGGCGTGCAGATGGTCTGGCTGGGGCATGCGCCAGTTTTTCTGGGAGGGGGAGGCTGGGCTTATATAGGGTTTATTTGTAGGGTTTATAGGGTTTAGGGTGAGGCTTCCCGGGTGAACCTGACATACGGGAAACTAAGCGTATACCGCTGCAGCAGAAAGAAGCAGATTTCAGATTCGGGGTTTCGGTTTGAAGAGAACGCAACAAACGGGGATTCTAATACTTTCCACATGGGGTGCGAATCCAAAAAAGCGCAACCCTTTGACCTCAAACGGGTCCCTCTAAACCCTAAACCCTATAAACCCCATGAACCGTATTCACCCCGTTCAACCCTAAACCCTAAACCCTAAACCCCAAACCCTAAACCCTAAACCCTAAACCCCAAACCCTAAACCCTACACCCTGAAACCCTAAACCCTAAACCCTAAAGCCTAAAGCCTAAAGCCTAAACCCGAAACCCCAAACCCCAAACCCTAATCCCTAAACCCCAAACCCTAAACCCTAAACCCTAAACCCTCAGGGCTCCCGAGATCGCTCCGACTCGCAGGGCCCCAGCCAAGTCAGGTTGCTCTGAAGCAACGGGCGCTGCGCAGCAAACACCAGCCTGTCAGAGGGTTTAGGGTTTAGGGTTTAGGGTTTAGGGTTTAGGGTTCAGGGTTTAGGGTTTAGGGTTTAGGGTTTCAGGGGCTCATGGGCACTTGTGGGTCGCTCTCTAGACTAAAATGGGCGTTCTTTTGGGGATGCTTTTTACAAGGTGCCGTTGCTTTCGAGCGACCTAAACAAGGAACTGCCCCTACAAGTCGGGTTAATAACGTAAGAATCATAGCTGGCTGCAGAAGTAGGATACTCAGAGATACCCTCGCAGGGAACCCTAAACCCCAAAACCCTAAAACCCTGAAACCCTAAAGCCCTTGTTGCATCCAGGCCTAAAATCCAAAAACCTAAACCCTAAACACTATAAACCCTAAACCCTAAACCCTAAACCACAAGCCATCCCCATGCCTGTTAAGGGGATTCGGATTTTTCAAAAACCAACCCAGAACCCCAAAATAAACCCATAAACCACTACGTTTAGGGCTTCGGGTTCAGGGCTTAGGGTCCGCAAAACGAAACCGCAAAACTGCAAGCCACCCATCGTTTAAGGGTCATAGAGGCAAGAAATGAGGCAAGCATCAACGACACGAAGTCGCCTGTTGAGGTGCAGGGACAGCGTCTGTACCCTAAACCCTAAACGCTAAATCGCCTGTTGAGGTGCAGGGACAGCGTTTGCAACGAACTCCGCAGGCTCAGCGACCAGGGGCCTTGGCAGAAAGCGCCCCCCAGCTGACTTTGGGAGCTATGGGTTTCACTAGGGATTTATGACCCCTAAACCCTAAACCCTAAACCCTAAACCCTAAACCCTAAACCCTAAACCCTAAACCCTAAACCCTAAACCCTAAACCCTAAACCCTAAGGGGATTCAGGCTTGAGGATTCAGATTTAGAGGAACTCGGGGTTGAAGTTCCAAAAGTAAGATTGGGGGGCCAAAGCCTAAACCTTGGACCCTAAACCCTAAACCCTTTTGTAAGTCTGGCCTGGTATCGACACCCAGAACGCCTACCCCTGAGTAGCCCAAGGCTTGACTTTTGGCTGGGACTGGGGGCTTGAGGAGGGCGTCGGTTGGTGGGGTTTAGGGTTTTGGGTTTAGGATTTGGGGTTTTGGGGGTTGGAGTTTAGGGTTTATGGGGTATTAAGACCTTTTGGGGTCAGCTGTCCCTGGGGACGAGTTCGTGGGCGTCTGCGCATCATGCTTCGCCAACCTCGCCTTGCAAGTAAACAGTAGTATACAAACAGAACTCCTTACGGTCTCTCTCAGCACCTGCATTTTGGGGCTGACAGCGAGTGGTGACTTTCTCGAAATCTCTCGAAATTCCCCTAAACCCTAAACCCTAAACAACGACTGGCATGCGTCGGTCTTGCATCCTTTCCTCCTCGCGCCACACCGGTGGCTCTGAGCCGACTCGTTCATTGCGGGCGGAGCTCAATTCGCCTAGAAAAACCCTAAACCCTAAACCCTAAACCCTAAACCCTAAACCCTAATCTGGAGTTTCAGGTTTCAGGTAGGTCAGGAGGGGGGGTGGCTCCGCTCCAAGCCCTGGAAGCTCTGAACCCCAAAACCAAAATCTTGAGGCAAAGTTGTCATGGGGCTTAGAGTGGCCCGGCCCAGCAAGAAGAGACCGCCCACACTGCTTCCGTGAGACATTGGTATAATGTAAAACGATTCTCCTTCATCTGGGTAGTTCTCCAAAATTAGGGTCCCATTTGGAAAGAGGGGGGGGTGCTTGTTAATGGTACCGTACTATATTGCCCGAATATACCTATATTAGGGGACACAAAAAAGGAACCTAATTGAGAGAACTACCCATGTTCAGCTTCCGGCACATGTCTTATGTCTTCCTTAGAAAATCTCGGTGGAGTTCATTCCTGCCGACTAGGGGGCACCGCGAGAGGTGCGCCCCCGCTGGTTGCGCGAGGCTGCCGAGTTCATAGGTAGGGTTAGAAGTAGGGTAGCTATTATGGTAATAGCGAACCTTTTTCGGGGTACCTATAACCCTACTTGTAAGGACTCCTGAACCTTCTCAAGTATGCGAGGATCACGCAAGCAGCACCGCAAGCAGCCCAAGCCCGAAACTCGAGATTGTAACTCCTCAGTCCTATAAGACCAGGATCGGCCTTGCTTTCCGTACCCTCGGCCCTTGTTGTGCCTTTGAAGGCTTTCGGTTGCTATTGCGGTTGTGATGCCTCGGGGTCCGTAAAACCCTTTCGTCCAGCTGGTTTATTGGTTCAAGTTTGGAATATGGAGATTAAATGTAAAACATATACATATACATATATGTGTATCTATAATATATCTATCTATCTTGTACATATATATATATATACTTTTATTGTTTGGGGGGGGGGTTGGGTTTAGGGATGCAGGATGTTTCAGGCCTGAGGGCTCTTGGGATGTATGAGGTGCTGATATGATGTGGGGCTCGATAGAGGTTGCGACACTGAAAGGCTCGCAGGATCACAAGAAATACGCTGACCCTGCTTTGATGTTCGTAGGGTGTCCCCCCCCCCCCTCGCCCAAAAAAAAATCAAATCCTTCCATACAAGGGAAATACATGGATTTGGGAGGGGGGGGGGGGGTTCTCGTGAGCAAATATTGGTTTTTGGATGTTAAGAACCGCTCATCAGGACACAAGCGCTAAGCCAGAACAGCACTGACAATCATACTGATACGAACCCTATGCTTCCACGGACCTAATTACTGTTTCCCACAAGTTCCAGGTACCTAAGGAGTAGGTCCTGGGAGTTCCAGGTCCGAAGGATTAGGTCAGTGGTACACCTAAACCCTAAACCCTAAACCCCAAACCCTAAACCCTAATACCTAATACCCTAAACCCTAACAGCCCTAAACCTTCAACCCCATGACAGGATGCCACACTGGGGCCTGACTCTCTTACTACTAGTTGCTTAAGAACCCCCAAAAAAAACTAAACTAGAAATCCCGAAATTAGCCTTATAAGGAAGAATACTATTTGCTTACGAACCCCTCCCCAAAAAACATGAAGATAATCATCCCTATATCACCCGTATAAGGAAGAATCTTATTGCTTAAGAACCCCCAAAATGAAAAAGTATAAATCCCTACATTACCCTATAAGGAAGAATCTTATTTGCTTAAGAACCCCCCCCCCCCCCAAAAAAAAAAAAAAAGAATGCAACAAGTGAAAACCAGTAGAAATCCCTATGTTACCCGTATAAGAGAGAATATGATTCGCTCAAGAACCCCCAAAAAACAGAAATCCCTATACTACCCGTATAAAGGAAGAATATTTGCAAATCGATCCTCCCTATATCACCATGATAATATAAGGAAGAATATGGTTTTTCATTATATACATACAAACATAGATGCATATATATATATATATACTTATTTATTTTTATTATTATTTTATTTATTTTTTTTTTTTGGGGGGGGGGGCTCTCTGAGGCAATTCGAAGCTTAGAGGTTGCTCGACCTCCGGTCTCGGTCTCGGTCGGCTTGGCGCAGCTTCAGGAAGAACCGGACATCCCAGTCCTTTGCCACTTTTTTGGGGGAGATTTGCCAGGGGAGGGGGTTTAGGGTTGAGGGTTTAGGCTTTGTCGAGATTTGCAGGGTTTAGGGTCTAGGGTGGTTTAGGGTTTAGGAGTTTAGGGTTTAGGGCCATGATTTTGTTACTTGGGTGGAGGGTTTTTGGCAGTGCCAGGTGTTCTTCTTGTCACCCTTCTGCTGGGAGGGTGATTGGAGGGTTTAGGGTCGAACGGTTTTGGGAGGTTTGAGAGGGCTGAGGTATTATGGAGCTCACCGAAAGCTACTTTTTTGTAGGGTCCTCTTAGAACAAATGACCTGAGAGGATTCTTCGGTAACCTACAAAAATGCAGGCTGTTTGGTTCTTGAGGTGGAGATTTACTAAGGGCGGTGTCATGCTAGACTCCCAAGTATATAGACCGGCTGTGGACCTCCCAGGAGCGGTCAGAGAACACATGACAAGAGACAGCTTCAACACAAAGCCCGCAGCCTTCAGGCACCATGACCCAAATCTCTCAGCCCTTTACTGTGAGGCTGCCGGCCCTCAACCCTAAACCCTAAACGTTGAACCCTGACTAAACCCCAAAGCCACCCTGCAAGCAGCTCGTGTCCCAGCGACCTTTGGTTGAAGCGCCTTGTGCTGGTAGCCGAAAGTCTCGCTGTTGATGGAGTCTCAGGGCGTCGGGCGTCGGAATTCGCTTCGCTTCGCAAAAATGTAGGTTTAGACAGGGGGATACCCTTTTGGGGATGCCTATCGTTAAGGATTCCAGTTTTCGGGGGGTTTGTGGGCACACGGCGTTTTAAAAAATGGGGAAATACCCACACGAATCATCCCAACAGCAACTGGGTCCTGGTAGGGGTTATATGAAAAGTTATCATGTTTAATCCTTATTGGGTTGTTTTATGATAACAAAAATGTAGAATTAAAGCCAACAAGGACCCAGGTAAGGGTTCGATCAGGAATCTAACTTGACTCGGGGAGTCGACAAACATACACAGGCTGCACTTAGGAGGGTAGCTATGAATTTAATTTTTAGCTGCCTTCTTAAGAAACCCAATAAACCCAAAAAGGCTAAAGATGTAAGTTACAGTAAAGCACCACAAAGGGGGCTTCGACAAACATAAACAGGCAAAAAGGCTGACGTGCTTCACTTTGTTTTCGGATCCTCGGCTCCTACGCAGAGGAGCTCTAAACCCTAAACCCTAAACCCTAAACCCTAAACCCTAAACCCTAAACCCTAAACCCTAAACCCTAAACCCTAAACCCTAAACCCTAAACCCTAAACCCTAAACCCTAAACCCTAAACCCTAAACCTAACCCTAAACCCTAAACCCTACCCCCCCCCCCCCCCCCAAAAAAAAAAAAACAAAAAAAACAAAGAAACAAAAACATCCCTCGGCCTCGACGCATGGAGCCTTGCCCCGAGAAGAAGTGACAGACCCTGCATGCTCCTGCTCAGCCCCGGCACCCGAGCCTCTGACGAAATCGGAACTCTAAACCCTAAACCCTAAACCCTAAACCCTAAACCCTAAACCCTAAACCCTAAACCCTAAACCCTAAACCCTAAACCCCCCGGAGCCTATGGCTCCTTCTTGCGAAGAGCCCCGGCTTCTGGGTGTGGTCCCGGGGAGATGCCTAGAAGGGAAGGGAGCGAGTGGCTCCGGTTTTGGAGGGTGGTGGCTTCCCTACTACCACCGTCTAGTTTAGGGTTTAGGGGTTCTATACTACCCCCTAGATTCCTCCCGAATTACCTTAACTAGGTTTAATTGTCCTTAAATAGACTTAATAACTTCACAAGCCTCACAATTTGGTTGAAGTAACCCGTAAGGCCACAAGAATTACTTGGGTGGCCCTTAAACCCCTCTGGAAAATATTCTTAGAACATGACTCTCTTGAACCCGACAGGGAAAATATCAAATGTCCCAAAGGATTACCTAAATTACACAAGGCCTCATCATTTGGTGCTCCCCCTCCCCAACACACACCCCCCCCCCCCCACCCCCCACCCCCACCACCCCCCCCCCCCACCCCCCCCCACCCCCCCCACCCCCCCCCCCCCCCCCCCCCCCCCCCCCCCCCCCCCCCCCCCCCCCCACCCCCCCCCCCCCCCCCCCCCCCCCCCCCCCCCCCCCCCCACCCCCCCCCCCCCCCACCCCCCCCCCCACCCAAAAAAGAAAAGTTTAGGGTTTAGGGTTTAGGGTCTAGGGTTTAGGCTTTAGGGTTTAGGGTGTAGGATTAGGGTTTAGGGTTTACTCTATAATGTATAGGGAGAAGCATTAGATGCCTGGAAGTTCAGGGATACATTAGGGTGGCTGCAAAAAATATGGTCCCCGCTGGGGTACCCTAAATATTCGGTGCCGCATTATCATAGGGGTCCACAAAGGGACCATGATTTTGACAGCCACCCAATTAGAATACACGGACGTCATGGAAGAAAAACGCAACGAAGACGGGAGGGACCCCAAAGATGCGATGCAGCCAATGCGCAGATGACATGACTTACGACGCTTCATGCCTCTACCCCTTAGGTACTCCAGAAACCATATTGGAATAACGGCGGCCTTTCTTGGGTTGGTTACTTTGTATGGGAACCTTGAAGCACGGGTCACCTCTCAGCTACCAAGACCCCCAAAGCCGTGGAGCTCGCAGCGACGATGTTGCCAGTCGACCCCAAGCCCCTTAAAGGCCTCGGCCCCCCTAAACCCTATAAACCCTCTAACCCTAAACTCTAAACCCTAAACCCTAAACCCTAAACCCAAAACCTAAAACCCTAAACCCGGAGCCCGAAAATCCTCAAGCCACACGTATGAAGCCCAGGCTCAGTTCGCCAAAGACGGTGGTGAGGCTCCGATCCTGGTTTCTTTAGGGGCTTCTTGGCTTTAAGGCAAAGGTTTGAGATACCCTGATGGAGATTTAGGGTTTAGGGTCTAGGGTATAGGATTTTTTTCCTCCTGCACAGCCGGGGCATATCGGAATTAGGGTTTAGGGTTTAGGGTTTAGTGTTTGGGGCTTCGACTCTCACACTCGCACACAGGCAGGCCAGACCTCTGGCTGGTCCATTCGGCAGCACCCGATACTGTGAGCATGGTTTTCTCAAGTTCCCATTACCTCCTTTGGGTTTGGGTTTAGGGTTCAGGGTTCAGGGTTTAGGGTTTAGGGTTTGGGGTTTGGGTTTAGGGTTTAGGGTTTAGAAAACCCCAAAAAAGTTGGAATAGTGCTGGGATTTCCCCATACTTTACTCCTAGGGATTGAGACTCTTGGGTTTCCAACTTTTTGGCTTCTACTCTACCTCCTTGGCTTCAGAGTTTGGGATTTGGGCCTTATCAGCTTTGGGAGAGCTTGGGATCTCAGGTATGCTTGTTGCGGCAGCTGCTCAGGGGCTTACAGGCAGTGGGCTAGAGGCCTTTCCAAAAAAACCTCGCTTAAGAACGTACTTGGAGGTTCATTCAGGTACTTTCAAGTAGGGTTGTATAAGTGCCCTGAATAAAGTTAGAACAGTAGTTTCCCTTCTGGTAACCCGACGTGATAAGTTCCCTAATCAACCTCCAACTCCAAATACGTAGCGCTACACCCTAAACCCTAAACCCTAAACCCCTGAACCCTAAACCCTAAACCCTGGATCTTGGGGCTTGGCCCACACCGGAGGCTTCGGCGAGTGGGGCCCATCGAAGCCGCTCACTTCCATGGGAAGACCTGCCTGCGACTTCGAAGAACAAAGGGATTCGGGATTCGGCTTTAGGGCTTGCAGGTTCATGGTACTTATTAACCAAATAGAACTGTACTTACAGCCCACTTACAGGCCCCTTAAGTGCTCTAATATGGTTATAAGTACAGTTACACTTGGTTAAGAAGTACCATGAACCTCCAAGTAGGGTTTAGGGTGCGAATTTGTGCATGCAGCGTACGAGATCTGAGTGCTAAAATTCCTGCAGTTCTGCCGACGAGGAGTACAGGAACGGTGGCACAGCTTGAGGTGTAGACATGAAGATGGCAGCTTCAGTTGCCCATGGTTGCCTAAACCTTATTTTGAAACCCAGTAATTAGGGTTTAGGCTTTAGGGTTTCATTAAGCGTTGAGCCCTTGGGCCCTTGGCCGAGGCGCTGAGCTGCAGTATCTGGTGGTTGCCCTGAAGCAGCCGAACTGGAGTCTCCCTCTCAGCCCGACCCGCTGCTGATTCCCCTGCAACCCAGAGTATACACTCCCTATCTAAAGAAAGGAAAGAAATCTCTGATCTCTGTCGAGTCCCTTGAAAACACCATAAACCACTTTACCCTAGACCCTAAACCCTAAATCCATCAGCTGAGGCGTGGGCACTCTTCCCAGCGTCGCAGATCACCACCTCGAACCCCCCGCCCCTAAACCCTAAACCCTAAACCCTAAACCCTAAACCCTAAACCCTAAACCCTAAACCCTAAACCCTAAACCCTAAACCCTAAACCCTAAACCGCAGCACGGTGGGCCACCGGGCAAGGAGACACTTTACGTTCAGCCGAAACATACTTAAAGGCTCCAAGGACCCTCCTACACAGGGACTGGTACCTCCTAAGGAGGATTCCGGAGTCTCAACTCCTGGGGTTTTGAGGGCCCAAGAGCCTTAGGGTATATATGTATATATACGCCACAGACTCTGTGGTTGCAGGTTTCGGAGCAACAAGAATCCGGAACCCCAAGCAGGGAGGCACCAGTTTACACATTCAGCAATATACCTGAACTCAGTGCAACCAACAAAAACCCTAAACCAAAAACCCTAAACCCTAAACCCTAGATCACGGTTCTAAGCTCCGACCCGGGAGAGCAGGACAGCCCAGCCCAGTATGCTTTGTTGGCACCCAGACTTACTTCTCCAATAGGGTGTAGGGTTTAGGGTTTAGGGTTTAGGGTTTAGGGTTCACCTTAAGGCTCCAAGGACCCTCATACAGAGGCCTGATGAGGGTTCTGGGGTCTCAGTTCCTGGGGTGTTGAGGGCCCAAGAGCCTTAGGGAAGGGGGGGGGAAAAAGGTTAACTTTATTAGTCCTACTGAATAAGGAAACCCAAACAGTTTCTAAAGTTCGATTCTTGGCCAAGTAAGAACTTGTCTGCCACCAAGGAGCCACCGGCACGATGAGAACACCAAGCACTGTGAGGGAGCTCGCCAAGCCTCAGGGTTCGGGTCGGTGTAGGGTTTAGGGTTTAGGGTTTAGGGTTTAGGGTTTAGGGTTTAGGGTTTAGGGTTTAGGGTTTAGGGTTTAGGGTTTAGGGTTTAGGGTTTAGGGTTTAGGGTTTAGGGTTTAGGGTTTAGGGTGTAGGGTGTAGGGCGCAGGGTTCAGGGTTCAGGGCTTAGAGTAGAGTTCAGGGGTCCCTCCAACCCGCGACTGAAAAAGGTGTGGCAAGCTACCCGCATAGAGCCTTGCACGCCAAAAGGTAACGGCTCATGGCGAAACCTTAAAACCCAAAGCCCACTGAAAGCCCTTGAGACCAAATTTCTAAAGCCTGTAAAGCCCTTTAAAGAGCCACCCAAGCCGATAAACCATGTAAACTCTATAAACCCGATAAACCCCATAAGCCCGAAAAAGGCTATAAGACCCCATCAAACCCTTTCAAGCCATGTAAAACCCTATCAAGCCCTATAACGCCCCACTAAAACCCCAAAACAAACCCTAAACCCCTAAACCCTAAACCCTAAACCCTAAACCCTAAACCCCAAACCCTTCAGGAAGCCCAGGAGATGGGCCCCCCGGTCCCCGGTGCGGTCAAGGGGCCCTTGACCACCACCCGCGGCACGGGCGAGTCCCACTCGTTCTCCTCGGTGGGTTTGGGGTTTGGGGTTTGGGGTTTGGGGTTTAGGGTTTAGGGTTTGGTGCTTGGTACATCTGGGGGCCTTCATGATTAGAATAGGGTTTTAGGGGCTATTCTGGTACGATTGTCCTGGGACCATAAGGGAACAAATGCTATTAGGAATTCTTCCGGCTGTCGCTCTGAGGGCTCGGGAACGATCAGTTTAGGGCTGAGGGTTTGGGGTACTACAAGCTTATAGGGTTTAAGGGTTTCTTTTGCGCCACCCGCCTAGCCACGCGCTGCAGGGTGAGCTGCAGGAGGAGGTTAGGGCTTATAGGAGCTTCGGCTGCATGATCTGAAGGTTTTGGGGTGCAGATAACCCCAATTGTAACTGCACTTAGAAACCCCCTAAGTCCTCTAAGTCCTCTAGTCTAAGCAGGGTAGAAGTAGGATTACTATGTTTGGGAGATATATATAAGTACCCACGAACCTCCAAGTGAGGGTTTGGGGAGCACCTGCGAAGGCCCGTTGATGTGGTCAGTCGGACCCCACCGGTGCTCAGGGAACTTTTGGTATAGGGTTCAGGGGCTCTGGTATGGGAACTTTCGGTTAGGGTCCAGGGCTAGGGTTTCTAGGGTTTTGGGAACTTTTTTGGTTAGGGTCCAGGGCTAGGGTTTAGAAGGTTTTTGGAACTTTTTTGGTCAGGGTCCAGAACTGGGGTTTCTAGAATTTTGGGGAACTTTTTTGGTCAGGGTCCTGGGCTTACAGGGCTTTGTGTTTAGGGTTTAGGGTTTAGGCTTGAGGGACGGCAGAACTGAGCCTCAGGCAAAGAAGGTGTGCATGTAGAGCAGCACGCCAGATCCGATTCCAATCCACCACACGGATACCTACGCCGAAGCTTCGGGTTCAGGGTTCAGGGTTCGGGGTTCAGGGTTCAGGGTTTAGGGTTTAGGGTTTTAGGGTTAACCCTACATCCTATGGCATGTATGTTGGGTTGATCCAAGTTCCTGGAATCGCTGTTCTGCGGATCTGCTCGGGAGAAGAAGTTTAGTAACAGCTGAGGGTTTAGGGCTCACGGTTCCAAGGGCAAGGTCGTTCGTCGGGGTCCTCATGATAGCCTGGTAGAACCCGAACAAGGGGACCACATAGAGAACACAGGGTTTAGGGTTTCGGGTTTATGGTTTAGGGTTTTAGGGTTTAGGGTTTAGGGTTTTAGGGTTTTGGGGTTTTGGGGTTTTAGGGTTTTAGGGTTTTAGGGTTTTAGGGTTTTAGGGTTTTAGGGTTTTAGGGTTTTAGGGTTTTAGGGTTTTAGGGTTTTAGGGTTTTAGGGTTCTAGGGTTCTAGGGTTCTAGGGTTTTAGGGTTTTAGGGTTTTGGGGTTTTGGGGTTTAGGGTTTAGTGTTTAGGGTTTAGGGTTAAGGGTTATGGGTTAAGGGTTAAGGGTTAGGGTTTAGGGTTTGGGGTTTAGAGTTTAGGGTTTAAGCAGCAAGTCTCCAGACACAGCCCTGTACACTCGTCCCAAGGGCAGCGGCTCTGAGCTGCCTTAGGGTCCAAGCCCCAAGTGCAAACCCCTACAACTCTAAGTCCTAGTCCCGAGCCCCTCAACCCTAAGCCCAAAATTCGAAGTCCTAAGCCCCAGACCCCAAACCCGAAATCCTGAACCCCTACAGGGTGGGGCCCCCTAGTTATAAGTAGAGTTATAAGGGCCCTAAATTGGGTTATAAGGACCCTAAGTTAGGTTATAAGTCCCTTAACTACAGTTAGTATAGTAAGGGGGCCCCACCCTGTATACCCTAAACCCTAAACACCTCAACGCCTCACCAACAAGCCAAGGGCACGGTCATCTTGAGCATCCGTTGAACGGATCTGGAGAAGCTCCTGCAGAACACAAAGCCTACTCAGGGTTTACGGTTTAGGGTTACTTGCAGGTTCAAGGGTACTTTGAAGTAAGGAGATAAGTAGGATAACCATAACCTTATTTAGGGTACGTACAACCTTTCTTTACAAGCAAGTTTTGAGCTCTAAACCCAAAACCTATATAGGGCTCAGCAGCAGGGTCATGTAAGCGGACTGTTGCGGCCAGGGTGCTGATTGAATGGAGGATCCCCACAGGCTACTAGACCCTCCCCGTTCGTTTCTAAGGCTTCCTTGGGAGGCGTACGGTTTAGGCTTAGGGCTAGGGTTTAGCAGTATCGGGGTGCGGGCAATCGATCGACAAGCGCAATATGACATTCTTATTGTGATATGTGTAATTCTATTGTTGCTACTGAAATATGAACATATCTTCATAACTTGTCTATTACTCAATTGTGTTACTCATGCAATGCTGCCATCCCCCCCCCCCCCCCCCCCCCCTAAACCCTAAACCCGAAACCCTAAACCCTAAACCCTAAACCCTAAACCCTAAACCCTAAACCCTAAACCCTAAACCCTAAACCAAAAAAAAACTGGTGCAACCGGGGCTCCCCAAGCTCTCCACACCCAACCCATAGGCTCGGCTGGTGATGTTGTAGCGATCCTCAGATCTTCAAGTGTTCAGGGTTTAAGGTTTGGGGTTTAGGGGGTTTAGGATTTGGGTTTTTCAGGGTGGGGCCCCCTTACTATACTAACTGTAGTTAAGGGACTTATAACCTAACTTAGGGTCCTTATAACCCAATTTAGGGCCCTTATAACTCTACTTATAACTAGGGGTCCCCACCCTGTAGGGTTTGGGGCTCAGGGTTTGGGGGGCGTAACCAAGGCGGACTCAACGCTGCTGGGACACGCCCACCCACACCTACCATGTAAGGTCTGCAGGACTGGACATGAACAAAAGCGTGCCCTCTATACTCCCCTTAGAACCTTAACAAGAATAATATGTTTAATACCCTCTTGGGTTTTTATATAAACAAAAAATAGAAAAACCCCAAGGGGGATAAAGCTTGTGTTGCATTGCGTGTACATGGCACGGAACATCTGAACCCCCCCCCCTACACCAAAAGGTATACTAAAGGGAATCCCAACTCTAATCATCCCTAAACCATGTTCCAACTTTCTGGAGTTTACTGTAGCCTAAACGAAGGGGCTCCGAGCCCCAGCTTGGATGTGTCAATCCCTCCGGGCGGCGACCCAGTAGCGGATGGCGAAGAACATGCCCGCGCAGGGCCTCACAGAATCGCCAGCGGGCTATCCGCTGGTGACAGTAAGAGATTCGGCTTCGAGGTTCGGATTTCCAGTGAGGGTTTCCCTGAACCCTAAACCTGCTAAATCGAACTCCCCCCCCCCCCCCCCCCAAGACCAACCCTTTCTGAAACCCGAGACCATCCCGCAACGCTCCCGTAATTTCTCCAAACCTTTAGCAGCGGAGCTTCAGGAGGGTTTCTAGGGCTGAGGGCCTTCGGGGTTTAGAGTTTACGGTTTTGGCCGAAAGCTCTAGGCCTAGGGACTACCTGCACATCTAATCAACAAACCTTGAGATCCCCCTGAGCCACTGATGGGTCTCTGTCAGAACGCGGCAACTGTGGATAGCTTAGCTTGGCATAAAAAAGAGACTGGACATCAGAATCTCTAAGCGGCAAGCCTTAAACCCTATGAACAGAGTCCAGGGTTTAATCGCACAAGCTCGAGGCCAGGCGAGGTACACAGGATCCACTGACTCCAAGCATCAGTGAGTGGCACGGTCCTGTTCCTACTCTAATCGGCTGCACCATTACTATACGAGGTACTTGGGGTTTGGGGGGGAATTAGGGTTTAGGGGTAATTTGGGATTAAGGTTAAGGGGAGGGGGGAAGTAGGCTTTGGGGTGCAGGGTTTTGGGGGGAGCCCAGAAATTCTTTTCCAACTGGGCAGATGTAGTCCGAAGGGTGACATTCTTCCAAGGCACAAGAGGCTCGGAACGTAGATGCCCATGCCGAAGCCCAAGGCCAGAATTCCCATGGAGAAGGCATACCAGTATCCTTAGATGGTTCAGGGTGTATAGCGCCACAGCCACAACCCTAAGCCCTTTTCCCTAAAACCCAAAACCCAAAACCCAAAACCCTAAAAGCCTAAATCCCTTTTTGGCTTCAGGGCACCACCACTGCGTAAACCCGAAGGCTTAGGATGCACTGCTTGGAACTACCCATGTGGGGGTTACAAAATTAGGGGTACCGCTGTTGGGGTCCTTATTCTAAGGGTATCCTACTACTTGGGGGTCTATACTTGGAAGTTCATGGGTGCTTACAACCCCAAAGTATACGACTACTCATAACCTACTTAGAGGACTTAGGGGACTTCGCGGGCTTGTAGGTACAGTTATCACTGGGGTTAGAAGGGGGTCCCGTATTGTCCTAAACCCCATGTACTGACAGAACGGACAGATGACCAGAGAACCACCACAGGGTCCGTGTGTAGTGCCATTCTGGAATTAGGTACGCCAGAACCCTCTGAAGTATGGTTTCGGGATGCCTAGTTCCATAAGAGGACTACGAATGCACCCTCTGGGCAGCATCGAAGGCAAGAACAACTAGCGTTAATATTGGGTTGGTGGCCTAGACCACGCCTGAAAACCAGGCGGGCTGAACAGGGCCTGAGCAGAGCGTAGTCTATAGGTTTAAGCCCTAAACCCTTACAATCCCTACACCCGAAACCCTAAACCTCCATGTCCGGCATATTTCTTCGAAGGCCTCGTAGCTTCGTAGGCAGAGACGACAGGTTGTGACAAAGGACCCGAGTTGTAACGGTCGCCTAGAAGTGAGGCTTTGTATATAGGGGTCCCTCAGCCCGAGCCCTCAGACCCTCCCCAACCTAAAGGAACAGTAAGGTGTGGGTAGTCCTAAACCATAAACCCTGAACCCTAAAAGGACAGTTCGGCATGGGTAATTGCTGTTGATACAAGAGGGGCCTACGTCAGCCTCTTCGTAAAACCCTTGCATGGAACACTCGCCACCTGAAAATGTGCGGGGTTTTATAGGGCTTAATATCATGGAGTTTACCAGCGTTTCAAGCATTTCGAGTGCTTTTCGGGTTCCTGTCTACAGGGTTTGGGCAAGCTGGACAGGGCTTTACAAGCCATTGAAGCCAAGGCGTCCGTACGAGAAGCTCCACGGGTCTGCTTCGCCCATGAGACTCCGGAGTACGAGCCTGGTGTGAGGCTTCAGGGAACAGATTACCCTGTAATAATATAGTCATAGGGATTAGGGGGTTTGTACTACAGGGTTTGTAGGGTTTTAAGGTTCGAGGGCTTGTAAGGTTTACGAAGCTTACGGTTTGGGGCTTTGGGGTCGACTTAGTACGTCTACTTAGCAACTATCCCCAAAATAATCCTATCATACTCCTCATAACCCGACTTCCGACCCCGAGGTTTAGGGTTTGGGGTTTAGAGTTCTCTAGGGTTTAGGGTTTAGGGCAAAACTGACCCCGTTCAAATCCCCCTCCTAACCAGTCCCCCCCCCCCCCCCCCCCCCCCCCCCCCCCCCCC